TGCCATCTTCGCGAGACGAATAATGTAGTAGTCCTTAACCCCTACATACATATAATATTAGTTAAATGAAAATAAATTTGAAAAGAACACTATCTCCATATTTGTAATGTATTAGCAAAGTAAGAAGAGTATTTTTGTATGAGATGTTTTAAATAATATCGACTGCTGACTGGAAGATGGACCTATCTCGGCAGGCAGTCCGAAAACTCCATATCTCAAGGAACTTTTCAAGAACGCCCTATTTCAGCACATTTTCAAGTGAAATAGGGCGTGTTTGAACCGAATTATGAGATAGGGCGTTCTTCGTTCCCACGACAGTCGGGTCTACACTCCCCAAAAAGTCTTTGGGGAATTTGTATGCTGCTTCAACAACAATATAGGGCGTTCTTCAACCAAATTCTGATAATTCTGAAATAGGGCGTTCTTGAAAAGTTTTTTTAGATTTTTTTTTTCTAACTGGCTGCCTAGGTCGTTCTTCCCCTCAGCAGTCGATATTTAAATCTTTATTTATTTAGGTTACCAGCAGAGATAGCATACCAACTTTATTATGTATATCTAAACATGGCTGCCTCTTGAAAAGTTTGGATCAGTTCCTAGTACCAATTTGGTTTAGCAATAAAAATACATAAATGACGTACACAAACAACTTCAGTAAGTCCTGAGAAGGCGCCGGGATTTATATCTCGCCAAGGGCTGTTATTTCAGCAACATTCCATAAAAGTGTTTGAGGAATTTCAAGCGCATGGAATGTAATCCACAAAACGCATTCCAAAGACAGTCTAATCAAGCGGTATAAAAGTCCAGCACTATTTAAATCTGAAGTTTAACTTAAGACATTTAAATGAATTCGCAAAAATCTATAGGTATCACTATTATTTCATACGCAAGCAATACCTTTACATCCAATGCTTCCTCGCAAGTACAGCTACACTTGCAATCATTGACGCATCCCTCAATTGCGGGTCACGCATAAAGTTTGTGTTGTTTCTTTTTATTTTTTTCTGTTCTTGCAACAGATCCGTGCCGACAGTATAATTTATTTGATCAAAAGGAATAAGCAACATATATATGCTTACGTACCCATATGCGTGCAAGCAAAATGTTTATACGTACAGATATACCAATCAGTATGTATGTATGCGCTTGCGTTTATTATGCATAATACCTTAATTGCATCTTGATTAAATTATAAAAATGTCTAGCTAAGAGGCGCAAAGTACATATGTGGAAGCGTGGAGCAGGCTGAGTCAACTTTGCTTTTTGCGGAGATATGGTCAGCTGACAATTGAAGAAAATAACAAACTTTCGCCTTCCTGATTGATACTTAACTAAATAGAAGATGTTCACGGGGTAAACATATTCGGCTTAAAAAAAAATAATTGTAGCAAACAAAGGGGAACGGCATCGAGTCTTCTCAGGTATATGAGGTTACCTTGGCAGTACTCCAGCAGCATTCCTCAAAAAATGGATCGAAAATAACAGTTATTTTCGAAATTTCAAATGAAGAAATCAGACGGAAGGAATTACTCTATATAATATTTGAATATAGCAGTGTGATGCTTGTTAGCTAAGGAATATTAATATTAAATGATTTACAATTTTTGAATAAATAAGTCAACAATTAATCGTAATTTTTTAGCGGTATCTTTTCAGTCCCTAAAATTTTGCTTTTATTTTTCCGATCAAAAATAAAAGTTACGTTTTAACTATTAATTTTAGAAAAAATATCGATGAAAAAATAATGCTTATTTATCGACATTTTTGAAAAAAGCATTACAGTTACGGTCCCTGTCCAAAAACTCTTCCAGCCGACCTCCGTGGGAATGAATAGTTCTTGAATTTCACCGTTAATTGTCTAGTTTTCCGGATATTTAAAAGACTAAGGGATCAACTCTCAATATCTTACCCGAATGTTTTTCTTAGGTACATATTTCTCCGAGAAATCGCGTGCTTACATTTTTAGAACAACCTCTCTTCGTCATTAATAAACGCATAGCCTTATAAGCTTATCCCAACCACAAACGATTTGGTCGATCGAGCGCGCGAAGAGGTTGCCTTCAACTCGCCCAACTCGTAAATGGCCATGGAAGTTATCGTTATTATTTGCATCGGTTTATAGTCGAAGACACTGCGAACTTGTTGCTTCAAGAAGACGGGGCATATGTACTTTTTGATCGTTGAAATTTGAATTTGAATTGAAAGCTCGACAATGAGGAATCTAAGTTGTACCACAGATGCTACAAACATAAGGCATCTGGGAAGCAGTATGCAATTTCTAAGTTGTATAAATTGACAAATTTAGACCTGGAGAACTATTTCCTCACAAGCCGAAACCAGTTGCTAAAGCAGCACTATTTTGCGACGAAGGATGACCCAAAACGCAGAGAAGGATCCTGACTAGTAAACTTTTGGGGAAGGGGCGGTGTGGATGCGTACATTTGGTACAGAAGGGTCCTGGAATAACAATGCCAACTGAACTAAGCCAGGAATCAGAGATAGAGTCCAGTGCTCAAACCCGCACCCTGAAGAAATAATTGACGCTAGTCTTCTTCTTCGTTTAGTTTAACTATAAGCGAGACATACGCCTGCGCTCCATCTGGTTCTATTTCCGGCAATTGCTTTGAACTGCTTTCAGATTAACTAGAGTTACTTCGCCTCTTGGTCGAAGGTTCTTCTACAGAGTCGTCCGTCTAGCGAAAACCCGATTAGGAAATTCCTCACAGTCACAAGGCGATGCGCTAAGAGACATACATATCTTATCAGCACAGTCAATGTGGTGCAGTGAACTGAGCATGGACCACCTCATACTAGCAGCCAACGGATCATCAATCACCAAAAGAAGGAGAAGAGGTAAGAGTATGCCACTTTATTGAACCCCCGCTCTGAACTTCGAAGGGCTCAGACATTTTCAAACATCAAAAATCCTTTGATGGCAGGAGGTTGAGTTGTGTTAGGTTTTCGACACTTTCCCCTCGTCAACAAAAAGCAATCTCCGCTAAAAATATAGCTCTGCCAAAAGATTTTTTTTAGTACCGTCTGTGCCAAAAGCTGCCACTGTGGCTTCCCTTTTGCCCTTTGCTTATGTGTGAGCCTTGAAAAAAAAAATATTATATGTTTGACTGGCTCTACAAGTTGTAGACCGCCTCACTTTTAGACGTAATCTGAAGGACGCTCAGGCTCTTACTCACAGCTCACTTGTCCGATTATAAACCCGCATTCCGAACTTATCGCTGTTCGTGGACATCTCAAAGGCTGACTTTCTGATTAGTTCTTCAAGAAAAAAGATACGTACGGGCCATTATGATATGGCGTCTATACACTCGCATGATGTGGTATCTAAGTATATACTATACTTGTTATGATACGGGCACGTTTGTGGGATTTCGAAGTAGAGAAAGATATACACCGAAGAGTTTCATGCCGAGAGTTTTGATAGTAACTGGGCTTTCGAAAGAAAGACACAACTGGTCACTAAAATCTGCCGTTTTTTCTACAAAGTTCATTGCAAGAAACAACTCAACCTGTTGCCGAGACTTGGATTGTGAGCTATCCACACTGAACGAACCTCGTCACAAGATGCCCAGTATTGTGATATATGAATCTAATTCGACTACCAATTTTGGGCGACCTAATTTTGTTCACTCTCTAAACATTTTGCTCACTGTCTGAACATTTTAAGAACTTAACATTAGGAATGATCGCAAGTGATCTTCAGCTGCTCTTATTTGAAAATCAACGATTTATTCTTTGAGCCAGCACTTTCTTTGTCGTATGTATTGTGCATAGTTACAGACATATAAATGTATATATAATGTGTGTATGTATGTATACATAGGTATGTACATAATATTGGTCATATGAATAAATTACTTTGAATGGGTGTGATTTCGCCATCTAAATTAATATGCCCGCATGGTGAGTTACATACTACTTACATACATACAAACATACATATGTATGTACATATAAGCATATCACTACGAAAGTGGGATAAAGTATTTCTAACGCTCGAACTTACCTCCACAGCTTCTCGCTTGTGTTGAGTCTCAATCTAAATAATAATACCTCAAAAATTCAGTTCGACCTATGTAGGTGTATGTATGTGTATTTATCGCATATTATGCACATATCTTTGATTTGATCTTTGCATTTAATTGAGATTTCTAAATTTAGTTGCATTGCTGCGGTGCGATCCATTAAGTGTTGGAAAGCACGTAACACTTCAAAGCTCAGCAATATCCGCAGAAGTGATGAAGTAATTTAGATTGCGTTTTGTTTTTTGCCGCATATTTACTTAAAGGTGCGATGGTTGATGGTTATGTCACGCTATTAAACCTCACAAGGTAAGGACCTATCATCTAGGTCCTAGAAACTAGCAATATTGAGAAGCTAGGACCCCAGCTGATATGCCTTCTCCACGATAAAAATAAGGTAATAGTTTTGAAAAGAATTTCAAAATATTATTATGCTAATTGTGGTTATTGTGGTTACCAGGCCACAAAGTCTTAGCGGTGGCCTCAGCTCCAATATATATGTACGTCCTAAACCATTTCTTGCAATAGGTTCAAACACGATGAGGGAAGAGCTTCGGAAAGGAACAAAAAGTAGGAGAGAACCACACTGGCATAGTACTATAATAGGACTTTGCCAAGCCAAGAGCCTATTGAGGGGTTGGAGGGCATTACAGTTTAAAATGATACAAACTTCTGATTAAGTTTCCTAAAAGGAAACTATGGATAATTACAGGCAACGCCACGGTACACTTCCGGCTAAGAAGACATCTGCCTGCACAAGTTGGAG